ATATGTATGTGTACCTCTCTCTTTCAATTGCAAAATATAGTTACTAAAATGTCATGTTTCGTATTGTGAACTTTCAAACATTTGTATTGACTTATATTATAATATATAAATAGGTGATAAATTTGTTCTCCTTCTTTTTCTGATTAATAATCTTACCGTTTTATTAAAAAAATTAGCGTCTTGAAGTTCTAACTCCAAATTTGCCATATCATCAATAGTCTTCAAAGGCAAATTTACAAAATCTTCGACATCAAAATGTTCATTTCTTATGTCATTTGAGCCACTCTGTATCTTTTCTTCAATTATAATCGATCTTCCATCAATACGATCTAATTTTGAATCAATTTTATTGCATCTACGCAATATTTCTTTCATAAACTCTAAAGTGTTATTTATTATATTAATAAAAATAAAAATAAACCAATAAAGTATAATATTTTATATATATATATGTAAAAGCAACAATTTTGTATTACTAGGGATTAGGTTTTTTATTTCATACCTGTAATCTTTGGAATCAAACTAAAAGTGTCGACATTTAACGTTTCTGATTCAAAGGGTCCTTTTGAAATATTCTGTACCAATTCTGTTGCATTATCAAAAGAAGTAACTTTTTCTTTACTGCTACATGGTGAAGAAGATAACAAAATATCCACAGAGTCATATTTTTCCTTTTGTTGACTACTGCTTGCTTCGTTTGACAATGTCGAACGTTCTCTAATACTTGGATTCTTCGACAAATACTCTGAAGACTTTTTCGTCAATAAGGCTGGCTTTTTTGGCGGTGGAGGTAGCATACAATGTAAATCATCTTCATATTCGTCATCAGAATAATTTCTTTTTGCCCTATTTTGACGATTTTTTTTATTATTTTCGGTATCAGATGAATCTACATCAGACCTATTTTCTGCCTGCTTTACTTTGGCTACTCCACTCTCATATGTATCTAAAACATTAAAAAGTATTAGAGATTAAAAAAATATTAAATTATAAAAATTAATGTAATAACAACTTTTG